CAGCGTCGCACATGATAAGTTCGCATCATGAGTCGATGATTGTGCCTCAAGTGCCTATTCTTGGTCGATACCTATTGACTTATGGTCCTCAACATTGCTGCTAGAAGAATTAGCAGCGATTTATCCTTACACATGTAATAGACTTTTCTCTATGCTTTTACATGAATTAATGGATAAAAAAAATTAAACAATTATTTAAAAATATTTAGCAACACCTCCCTTATATAAGAGACTAACCAAAATATTTAAACCTATAAATACATAACATGTATGTCATAAAACCAATCAATTTTATTTAATTTCTTCTAAGAATTTAGCATTATTCAATTTTGTAGAAACTTTTCAGTTTCTTCATGATAATATTTTTAATCATAAATTTTTAAAAAATATTCAAAATCTATAAAAAATCAAAATATAATTAAAGTTAATCCCACACATTTAATTGAAATTAAAAAACAAAATTGAAAAAAACAACTAAAATTCAACAAAATAATGCAAAAAATATTACAATAGCACCTAAAATTCAACACAATTATTTCTTAGTGATAATATTTCTAATCCTAAATTTATAAAAAAATATTGTAAATGGAATAAATAAAAAATAATAATTAAAATTAATCCTAAATATTAATTGAAATTGAACAACAAATTTGAAAAATAAAATAATAAAAATGGAATAAATAAAAAATAATAATTAAAATTAATCCTACATATTAATTGAAATTGAACAACAAATTTGAAAAATAAAATAATCAAAATTCAGCAAAATAATGGAAAAATTATTTCAACAACAACTAAAATTCAACACATTTATTAATTCATAAAGTTATTAAGAACACAAAATTGAACAAAAATAATGACAAAAAAAATGCAAAAAAAAAGAAAAACAGAATGAAAATTCTTACTTTAATAGCGTGCTTAATTTCAGCTAATAATTAAAAAAAAGAAAAGAAAAGGGATTGTTAATAAACCAAAAAAATAAAGAAAAATAAAGAAATACATCATACCTCATGATGAGAAGAGAATGCTTAATTTTGATTGAGAGTGATAAAGAAAAGAAAAGACAAAGAGGGAAATAACTCTATAAGAGAAGAAGAAATAAGAAGATGAAGTCTCATCTATTATTATTCTAGTCTTCTAATTTAGTTTTACCAACAAAATTATTGATGGAACATTAAAATTTTAATATTTTTTATATTTCTATTGGTAATTTCATTTGTAAAATCAAATTAAAATTTAATGATTTTGGTATCTAGATGCTTTTTACTAACAAAATTACAGATAAAAAATTAAATATTAATATTTTAATATTTCTGTTAGTAATTCTGTTTGTAAAGTTAAATGAAATTTTTTAACTTACATGAAAATTTTCAAAAAGCTCTCCAACATTACTGACGACTTTTCATTTTATTAGTGATGTTGTTGGGGAAAAAGTCAATAATTAAAAGAATATTAATTATTAATGCATTGAGAAATGAACAGTTCTATAGTTTTTGGAATATACCAACAGACACATTGCATTGGTATGCTTATATATAATGTACAATTTGTTCCATTAGTATAAAATAATGTCTAATGTGAAATGTATTTGTATTCCTTAACTAGCTGTCATGCAAATACTTAAACTCATAGTTGCACACATAACATAATAACACCAGTTCCCATCACAATATTAAAATAAATATGTTTTTATTCAATAAAAAATTAACATCATTATCATTACATTTAAGTCAATTTTGTCCGTAAATATTATATTATAGTTTATGACATTACACATTCATATTGTGTAAATTAATTAGAATTGTCTTCTTCTTAATCATTTGACTCATTCTCATCTTCATCACAATACTCAACATCGATTTTGTCGCTATTATCTTCATCGACTTGTGTATGTTTGTTGGAGCTCTAAACATCATTCAACACCTCAACATTATCATAAAAAAAAATTATTGACGATGCGAAAATTTAAATTTTTTTCTAAGTCATTAGTCGAAGCAACTCGATATAGATAATTTAGGGTATTTTTATGGATAGGAATTATGATTCAACCCTTATAACTTATACCTAATTGTATCTAGGGTATATTCGGGGAAAAATTATGATTGTGCCTCTCCATATATAAAATATTAATTTTATATTTTAAAATTAAAACACTAAATAAATTAATTTAAAAACAAAATTTTCTAAATAGATTAGTATTGAATTAAGTTTTTTTAATTTAATAATATTTAGAAAGTTATTGATTTTGTATTGTCCTAATTAGATTATGATTTAATTAAAATGTTTGATTAAATAATATTTATAAAAATATTTTTTTAATATAAAGAGTTTTAAAACCAGAAATTTGATGAATTTGATCCCAAAATTGTTTAGGATATTAAAAAGAATTTTAATATGATTAATTTTCTTATTAAATTTTGAAAAATAATTTTTCTAAGAAAAATATGTATTAAATAAAATTATTAAGTTTGAAAAATTATTAAATTGGATTTGATTTAATATTTCTGAATGTTAGAAATATTATTTTTAAACAATTGCACATAAAGCCAGTAATTATAAATGAATCATGCAATATATTTTCTTATGCATATTAAATTAATATGGATATTAAAGATCAATGTGATTGTGTTTTTATGATTGAATGATTTTAATATTAAATAAAGTGTGTGTGTCATGCCTTTCCTCTACTTTTTTTAATGGTTGTAAAATTTGTTTCTTATATAATTCCCCTCAAATGTAACTTGAGATTTCTTATTCAATTATATAAAATGTTATATAATTTATAAATGTAGGAATTAAAAAATAATAATTATTTTATAATCTAAGATAGAAAAAAATAACGGTGAAGGATACAAAATGTGGCTCAAAAGGAATTATGAAGATTTATAATGGCTATTTAGGTTTTTACCATCTAATTCCCTTCAAGATTACCATCTAATTCCCTTCAAGAGCTCGAGGTAATTAGTTCAGATGTGTTTATATTTAATGATAATAAAATGCTAAAGGTGTATGTTAATATATAATTGTTGTGTATAATATATAAATTATGCCATGAAATAAGACATAATTAAAAATTGATAATAAATTTCTCATTAATATATTAAGTACATGTTGAGAACATGATTTGTTGCCTTACAATTTTATATGTATAAAACTAAAATTCTGTTCATGAGTAACTTGTTAAGTTACTAAAGATTACTGTTAATCAAATATGATCAATGCTTTAAAATCATATCTTACTTAAATAACTTATATTATTTGCATAAATTACTTATGGTCATAATGATTAAAGGTAATATTTAGACGAAACATATATGATATGTTTAGACAAAGAGATATTATCTAATTAATTTAGAAGTTATATGAAGATGTGATTGATAAACTATATAATTTATGCACTTTAATTTATTTTGATTTTTTAAAATTATTTAAGGTTATATTAATTAAATGAGATCCTAAACCATTAAGATATCTAAGCGATATTTTTAAATTAATAGTGAGGGTTATTAATTTATAAAAAATTAGTAGAAAATCAAATTAAGATTAAAGACTTTATTTAGACTTGATTATAAAAACCAATAACTT